GTTTTTGAAGACACTGCTCCAGAGAAAATACCCCTTTCACTTTTGTTTTTCCCCCAGCTCTTTGGTGATCAAAAGTTTTAGGTGCCAAGTTTAAGACATCTCAAAGACACCCTATTTTCCAAGTATCCACCTCTCAGACCTCATGCTCATAGAAATGAGACCCACTGACCACTACTTGATTTCAGCACATCTTTTATAGTGCCTGTCATATCTATTCTAATCAAATCCAACCTGAGGAAACAGATATGAATACATTTCAACAGACCTATAAATAGGCAGTATGCAGGCCGAAGTAAAAAGTACTGGAACATAATTATGTAAATGCTTCTTAAAATACATTAAAAGAAAACAATGATACTCAACAGGGAAAACATTTCTTACACACACATTAATAGAAAATCAACTCAACACTTCCACGCAGCAGTGAAAAAATATGGTGTTTTCTTGGTGAAGTTGAACAATAGACAAAAGAATTAAAGGCTTTCCTAGTTGTATTTCAAGTACTTTACTGAGTGAAAACATGGTCTACAAGTGTGAAACTTAGTTAATAAAGTTAATAGAGAGCTAATTGAGTTGTCTCACAAGCTAAGTCTTCGTTAGCATCTAAAAGTATACACAAAACAAAAACAAACAAAACACAATCCTTCCCATCCCAACCCAGATAACTGCAAGTGTACTGTTCAAGGCCTTTATAAGGCTCAAACTCAGCAAGCCTAATACAGAAGCATGTGTGCTCCACCTTACCCAGGGACACAAGTGTGCAACATTAAAGTTGTAATTAAGTTCTGTGATCCCTAGATTTGCTTCTGAAACAAACAGAAAATGCAGTAAATCATCTTGTGCATTATCATTAAATAGATCAGAAAAGTCCCAAGATTTGACATGTAAAGAGGTTTCCATTATTTATTTTTAAAACAGAAAAATTCTTAAACTCCTCCCTTTCTACCAATACTTAAAGAATGAACTCTTCTGAAGCCACTGACAATCCAATGGATATAAGTGACAGAAGAATAACGCTCCGGCTATCACAGTTGTTTACTTCAACTAAATCTTAATCTTGGATAGATTTGAACTGTTTGAGATAATCACTGCCGCTTCCCTGACCATAATTTTACGAGATCATCTTTCACACTGAGCAAACCCCAAATCAAAAAAGCTTATTAAGCTTTCTAGAGATTAGAGACACCTCAGTATCTTCGAACATTTACCTCTCCTTCCCAGCAGCTGAAATGGTTTTAGGAGGATCATGGTTCATACCTCACATTCCCTGGAGCCGGAGATGGTATATGTGCAGGGCCCGGATCCATTAACTGATACATCCATGGTCTCGGAATTTGTTGGCTTGTAGTCCACGTAATATTCCTGTAAAGGGGAGTTCATTTGCCTTTCACACTCCCTGGCCTTTTTCCTTCGCCTCTTCATAAGAGTGTGCTGCTGGAGCTGTTTCATGCTGGCTGGATAACGCTTCCATGACACATAAATAACCAAAAGAATCATAGCCACGGAAAGAAAAAGGGCCACACTGCCAGCAATTATTTTGTGAAAGGAAACATGCTCATACTCTGGTTCCATTCCGGGCGTTGGGAGGTCTGCAAGAGTGGTTAGTATAACAGATGTCGGGTGATTGCTCTCCAGTTTGGAAATGGTTGGTTTAGGAATAAAGATAGGTCTTTGGGCGGTTTTAGGTGCCTGATACGATCTCTCAGTAACAACCACCTGGATTTCTGCACAGATATTATATGTTTCCACAGCATCACTCACCTTTTCGCCCTGGATATTTTTAGGGCCTGCACATATCATAGTGCTTTCTTTATTTCCCTTGAAATTCTTAAGCCAAGTAAACAGTGGGCAAATGCTCCGAGAACATTCCCACATATTTCCAGACAGAGTGATGGAGATGAGTGAGATCCACGTGTTGATGGTATCCTGAGAGATGTTGGTAAGTTTGTTGGAATCCAGGTTCAGCTTTTGCAGGTTGGGCAGGCACTGGAACGTCCCAGGCTCTATCCCTGTTATGTCATTTCCTGATAAATCCAAGTTGTGCAAGGAACTCCAAGTCCATGTTAATCCTTGACTAATAGACCGGATCCTATTCCACTGCAAATAAATGGAGCGAAGGTTGAAGAGGCGTGGAAAATGGGCAAAATTGATCTTAGAAAACTGATTGTGCTCCAAATGGAGCTCTGTCAACTTCAAAAGGCCAGCAAAAGCATTACGAGATAAGCTCCGCAGGCGGTTGTAGCCCAAATCCAGAAAATCAAGGTTTCGGCAATCTTGGAAAACTCGAATTGGCACCGTTTTCAGTGAGTTGGATCGCAAATGCAAGATCAAGAGTTTACGAAGGCCCTTGAACTGCTCAGACTGCAACACCTGCAGCTTGTTGTAAGAGAGGTCCAAATTACGGAGGTTAGGGACAGGGTGAAATGTTTTGTTGTGCAGATGGGTAATTTTGTTGGAGCTTAGAATTAATTCCTTCAGCCTGCGGATCCCCTGAAATGCATCCTCATCCACGGAGCTGATGTAATTATGGTCAAGATAAAGCCATATGAGCTGATTGAGGCCTGCAAACTGATTTGATTTAAGCTTCTGAATGCTGTTGTACCGTAACGATAAGCCTTGGGACCCTCCAGAAATATTCTGAGGGATGTCTCTGAATGCATGAGATTCACAGTACACAATCTTGCCATCACATCTGCAGTTCTTGGGGCAAGCACGCTGAGCCCCTGTGTGCATAACAAACAGCACCATAGGAAGTAGCACTAACACCGCACTCATGTCTCGCAGCTGTTTAATTAAAGGGAAACCTACAATATTAAAAAGACAAATGCACATTGTACAGCTATTAAAATAAGTCACCAACAGACTACTACTGTAACAGGCTTTCAAATATAATATTAGTGAAACTGAATTTTAAAAGACAACCTGTGTTTCAGTCTTTCTTGCCCTCTTTGCTGTCTAAAAGCCTGTATTTGAAGTTTCCAGCTTGACATCTCCGAGACCACACCATCAGCAGTACCGCTTCTGTTGCTCAATTACTCTTGTTGGGATTTATGATCTCTTAGAAGGATCAGAAGCCTGTTCTCTATTCGCTTGTTCTCCTGTACATCACCTCAACGAAGGTGCTATATTCTTAGTGCTAGATGCTGAGATTTTAAACAATAAACACATCTTACAAGTCACTGTGTTGAAGGCTCCACAGTACCAGAAAGGAAACGAGGCAAAGCCTTTATGCATTGTTAAACATTTCCTTAATAAAAGCAACTACAAGTTCAATTTCGTTCAAAATTACTACAAGGAGTACAGTGCAAAAAAGTACCCACCTTTAATATGTGTTCTTACTGTAAAAATGAAGCAATAAGCAAAGGCTTTACTTTTTGCATTGGGTGATTCTTTTTTCAGATTAGGTGCAAATTACTTACTATTTTCATGTATGTAAAATAGATGAAGAGATGTACAGAAAGCACATTAAAACACTAGGGAAGCATACCACAATACTAGCATGGGATCTCAACGGCTAGATTTTGGTAATAGATGTATTACTTTAAAAGGGGTCATAGTCTTAGCATATAGATGCAGCTGTCAAATTCTAAGCATTTATTACTTTGTATATACAGTAATTTCATATACTGTATGCAAAAGCACATATTAACACTGCCTGAAGAACAGCAAAATGTAGAAGGTTAAGGGAGATATATTTGTATTTCAATTCCCCTCTCTTCTACAGCTCTACTAATTTTGAGCTTTTGCATATCAGATGTCAAATTTATAACAGTGCTCACATAATGCTGTTATGTGAGTTTAGTCACATTTTCCACATTCTTTGAGTAATTATGAAAGAGCTGGGGCAGACGGGGGGGGGAGGAATCCAACACATGCAATTTTAGCACTGATGCCTCTGTCCAGAATTGTAATCTTGTTAATCATTAAGGTGCATTCTCCCAAGAAAAGATATTTTAAGGGCCAGTATCACCACCACAAATAATTATTTTGTTATATACATGCACTCTCACTCAAAACCAATGTTGTGCTGCAGTTATTGCTTTCATTTTTAAACTAAGAGGCAATCAGTAAAATCATTTCTTATCTAAAATGTCCCTAACTGTATGTCTCTGCCTTTCACGTTAATGGTTAGGTTTTAAATTTAAATCTTCATCTTTTGCTACAGCCTATGTGCCAGCAGCAGCCAGCTAGAAATATGTTCTGGCTATTACAGACTTTGGGGGTGGGGGAAAAAAGGGAGGGAAATAAATCTGTCACACTTGAGAATAAAAGATGGGCAAAATGACTGCTGGAAATCTAGCAGCTATATTAGGGGTATCTTTTCAAAGACCAAGTGAATCTTTTCAAAACTACACAACAAAAACATCCCCTTCCTCCTCTGCTTCCTACTTGCTGCAAAGTGTTAGCAATCCTTTCTGACAGCCTGAATAATAGCTCCGCAGGCTGATCTAATATGAATATAAATTCAGAAGAGATGTTGTGTGAGCATGTCTCATGCATGTATGTACCTAACTATACATGTGCAGGTATGTGGGTGGGTTGCACAGACAGTTGAATGTACTCCTTACATTCTTTAACTTGGTGCATGCATTTACAAATTAATTGCATATAAAACCACTGCAGGAGGAAAGGGGTGTGTGTGTGTGTGTGTGTGTGTGTGTAGGGGGATGGGGGATATATAGTCTAAAAATACAATAGCTAATACAGTGAGCAACCTGGCAAAGGAATGCATGCTGCTGCTTAGACCATCTCCCCCTCTTGAACAGCTAATAATCCAACAACATACAGCTGCAGCTGTGCTAACAAACAAGCAAGAAAAGTTTACTTACCCATCCTTTTGTCATCAAAAAACATCCTCCTTTTTCTATCTTTCCAGCTGTTTTTGTCGCTCTTTCCTCTTGGCTCTTAGTCTCTCCTGCTTTTTAAAGCTGGCCTCTCTTCTTTAAACCATCAGAACCTTCGTGTCACAGCACAGCTTCGCTTGCATCAGTGCCATCCAACGTGCATGCCAGTAACCCCCACAAAGTTCCCTAGAGAGGACAAGCAAGAATTTGGGAGATGAGGAAGGGAAGGGACAGGAAAGTGGTTGGGGAAGACAGGACTAAGGATGGAAGGGGGAGGGAAGGGAGGGACTCTGTGCTCTGGGAGCCATTGTGTAAGTCATCAGAGAGCCATCAGCCTTAACTGGCAATCTGCAAGCAAAAGCTTACAGCACACCGGGAAGGTAATCCAACTTCCGCAGGAAAAATACAAAAATCTTTCCTGCTACCTAGCATTTCTTATTCTTCTGCATTATTCCACTCCCAGACGCAGCAATCCATCCTCCAGATTTTCAGTTCTTGAAGTAAGCAGGCCTTCTATGCTGTGCAAGACCCCAGTTTAAAAGCTCTGCCAGACAGGTCGATCCATCTAGCTGGGCAGGTTTAAAGGGTTTTGTAGCTGTGCTGAGAGGCAGCTCCTGTCTAATTCCGGAGGCTTGCCAGAGAGCGATGATGCTCTGGAGCTTGTTGCTGCTGATGTTCTAGTTTGTGATGCACCGAGTGCCCTCCACTGGAGGAAACAGATTGCACATTAAAGGCACGAACAAGTGATCCTGTCATTGCTATGCAGACTTTCCTCTGAGAACAAGAAAATTAAAGACACAGTATTGCTTTGCCCAGCAGCATCCCTGCCCAGACCCCTTTGCCTTCCCTGGTGAACCCTAAAACATGGAATAAAACACCGCTTCCCACAGTATTTAGCAACTCGATCTTTTTCTAATCGATCTGACCTGAATATTTTTCTTATGCACATTACAAACTGGTTTTATTTTCCCTTCTTCACTGGGTAAGAACAGGAAAAATACTAACATATTAAAAATGAGCCACGTTAAAGAGTTGGGGGGAATGAAATATATAAGTGTGTATCATCCCCATAAGAAGAAATTCAATCAAATAAACCAAATCAAAAGATAAATGCTGAAAACGATGATTCGGAGTTTGTTTGTTTTGTTTTTGGTAATTTGGTTAAATGGTTTCTGTCAGAAACATATTAAGTTCAGTATATAATGTAGAGCTGGTAAGGCATAATTACTGACTTTTTTTTTTTTCTTCTAATTCACTCCCCCAGCCCTCCCCAGAACACAAACTGAAACTTCCTAGCAGACACAGGGGCTGTTTTGAATTTCAGCAGTCTTCAGCCACACACTTTGCAATGCCATCTAGGCTATTACCCTTGCACAACTGCCACCTCCTGCTACTCGTCCAGCCAGCTTACTAGGGCTGAAATTAGCGCGCTCTCAGTTCAACGGAAAGGTGCCAGTGGGATATGAAGCAAGTGCAGGACCACACAGAGTTCCTTGGACTTGGTTGTGGTCAGCCAGAAGCAGCAGAGACACCGCAAACACTGGTTAGGTAGCAAACCGAGGCACCTCACTGGCCAGCACCAGGCTCTACCACAGCATTTTTAACCCACTTTACAAAAGCCTGTTTATTTGTGCCGTTTTGTCCAACTGCTCTCTCCTCTCACAGTCCTACACTGACATCAGGTATTTTAAAAACAATCCCTCACCCAAATATGAAGTTCTGAAGCGAGGGAAATGCTTTTTATAAGGTCTATTATCAATTAACCATTATATTCTGCCTTAAAAACACTTGCAGTCTCTGTGGACCACTATTAGTGCTTCTACTGTTATAACAGAAGTGAAAATTGCATAAAATTTCATGGTCAGATGCAGAGCTTAATATTCTTACTCCTTGCTCAGACAGAAAGATAATTTGTTTGCCCCACAATGTTTCCCAGGCAATGACACTCCTGCCATAGTTCCATCACCTACTCCACAGATTTCCATCCAAAATGGAACACGCAAAATGGCTCAACTTCTTTGAAAATACAACCACCCACCCCGAAACAGTGCATACAAGCCAACTACTTTCTTTCACTCTATCTGCATCGAGCCTACCACATCTCAAAGTTTCTGAAAAACCACTGATTTTTATTTGTCCCATTGGTGCTATCCATAGATTGATTAGCATAAAAAAAATCATAATTAAACATTATTTTTAATCCCAATTTTCTAGAAATACACCCTTTCCCCAGACAAGATTCAGAACTTAATTACCATAAATGCTGAAAATACCGTTTTCCCTATCTATGTTAACTACATCTGCATTACAGTCAGTATCATTTTAGCTAACATTCCATTGTACGATTCACGGTACAATTTCCCAATAAAGGTAAAAGCTAAATTGTGCACTCATAATACCTTGCACTGACAAATCTCCAGAAGAGTCCATTTGAAATTCTTCCACATCTCAGAAGCCAAGTGGATGTCTATAAATTATATCAATTTCCATGGACTTTCTTTTCCTGCATTCCTATATCCTTCAATCATATGAGAAACAAAGCATCATGGCCATTAACTATCCTATTGCTGTAGTTTTACTGAAATTCAAAAATAATGCATTTCTACAGGAAGATTTAAATAATTTTGTTTTTATAAAAGTCTTGTGATATCATAACCAAAATTACCAAATTATCTATTCTAGTAAGTTTGCATGCACTGGGAACTACAGTTTCTCTTCCAGAATAATGAATCTACACTTGCTACACTTTTGATCAACATAACCAATAGTCAGGATTTCACAACACTAGTTTTTTTTTTTTTTTTTTTTTTTTTTTTTCAGATGTGTGGGGTTTTTTTCTGTTTGTTTTTAACCATACTCTGCCAAGCACACTTGGAGGGTTTCCTTTGATCTTCTCTACTCATCAGTTAAAGTACTTCTGCATGGAAACTATTAATAACAGTAACAAATAATACTAAAATGGTGCCTTAACTTTACAAAATGTTCCAGCAGTTGCCCTCCCAACATGCTGGCAAGGAAGAGCAGTGCTCATTTATAAGCACCTGCAGCAGTAGCTATATAACTGGAAATTTACTGCCCTGACTAACTCTTACAGGGCATCATTTGCAGAACTACCTCTGGAAGGAGATGAGTTCTTTGACCATTTTCTTCTCATTTTCAGCTCAGAGATCTCTAAGACTTGCACTGCTCCTACACAGTTTATTTAAAACACTCATTAGCGCCGGAGACCTAAGAAAAACAATTAAACCTAAGTAGCGTCTGGGCCTGCCCATAGTACTGCCAAATGCAAGTTCTCGAACTTCAGGAGTCAAGGAGAAAAAAAATAGTATTTTATATCCCTCTCTATCTGCTGAGCCATTAGTTTTATCTGAATTGCATTTTCAAAGCTTTGTCAAAGTATTTAAACTTGTTGGATAAATTTGGAGATTTCAGGTAACAAGAACAAGTACAGCCATCCAATATGGTCAGGAATTCTAAACAAAATATTTCCACAACAGACCTACAATTTCCGTGATGACAAGCATTTCGAGAAGATGAGTGGCCTTCACTTGATATCCACCAAGGATGAAAGAACTACTGCATTACAGTGAAAATTGTCACCGTGTATAACACTTGCTTCTGAAAAAATTGAGAATTGGAGCTCTTTGGAAAAACATGTATTGACTGTGATGATGACCTCAGAATCAGTGTCTTCTAAATCTTTCTCTAGTGTTGGACTAAGAAGGCATACACTCAAGTATGGCCTTCCAATTTCATCATGCATCATTTTCAACAATAGGAACGATGACGGTGATTTGAGAGCACAGAAGATCACATGTACATAAAAGCCTTTGTTTCAACATCTTTCTTAATCAGGTGCTGATGTCTGATTTTTCATTACTTGTCTCCCTAACAGGGAGCACCGATTTTCAATCTTCAGTCATAGGTGAAATCTTCACACTTTCTATTTGCACACAAGCACTCCTTGAGTCACACCTTGTGACAAGTATACAAAGCAAGGTCACACACAGGGTCTTAAGCTGGTTGCACTGGAGAGTTGGTCTTCCCCTCCTCTCCTATTTCAGTACAGCAGCAAAAGTACATTCAGGTGAAAAGAAAATTGCAAGAAATCTATTAGAGTTACTGCTGGCTCCCATTCTTCAACTAGGAAAGATAGTTAAAGCATTTCCAAAGGAAAAACAAAAAAAGTCACCAATAAAAATTCTGGTTTGACAAAATAATTCCAATGCTGTTTTAAAAAAAAAAAAAAAAAAAAAAGCTACAAGCTACAATTTTTCACGTGCTAAGACATTTTCTTTCAATTTGGCACTTCTTTGCTGAAAGGTCATTATGTTTTTAAGGTAGCCAGGCTTTGATTTTCGATCAATAACATTTTTTTCCCCGATAGAAATCAATAGAAAGCAATTGTCATTTTAACTTAAAAAGACACTGAGAGTAAATGTACCAATATTCCTGTTGCTGTTATCACCTTTACATTTGTGTTTAGAAGCCAGAGATTATCTTGCTTGTGAAAAATCAACCATCTTTATTTCTTCTTAATGCATTACAGGATGTTAATAAGCATTCATAAGGTTTTTTGTTTTTTCTCATAACTGCAGCCAACTGAAATTGAACTGTTTTTAAGATTAGCCTCTTAAAATATCCAGCGGTTAGGGAAAACAGAGAACCGCTGGCACCACAGGGATCCTGTGTTTGCTAAGCTCTCTTCCTGTAAGACCCTGCCAAAGCACTGACCAACTACTGGGCAATACTTTGAAGCACCATTGTTTACACCACCCTTGTTAAGTAGTTGGGTTTTGGTAGCCATTTGAGTGGATATTTAAGACAGGCTTCACTCCAGCTTTTAAAAAGTGCTTCATTAAAACAGATAGGAATTAATTAATTCATCCCAAAGGACACCTGATATCTGTTATGCACTAAAGTAAACTTCTATTTAACCAAATCCTGAGGCTTTAACTATCAGATGGGTAATATTAGCATTTATTTTTCCTTACCAGTCTCCACCACCACCATCATCATTCAGTACCTGCCAATCTCGAATGCACATTCCCAAAACACTGCTGCATATCTGTAGAGAAGAGGCCGTAATAGAAAGAGACCAATGGCCAGTTAGAAGGTATTTAATCTTCTATCTCCTCTAAAAATGCGTGTTCTTAAAATACCAATAAACTCCTAAAAAGTTGACTTACCCGTAAGCATAGTTTGACCCGGCGTCAAAGGCTGCATTCCTAAGATGTCAGACCATATCGTGGCTTCTCATTTCACTGTTTTTATTCTCATTCACCGCACTACTCAGCACGTGCCACAGGTATTTAAACTAGGTAGTCCAAATGCACAAACCAACACAGTGGTTCCTGCTAATAATGACGAAGTAGAATGCCATTCCTACCATCCATCAGGGCTAGCAAACAGGTACAGAAAATCTGATGCTGCATGATATGGAACCTAGTTGTCCAAGGATTCCCCCAAATCCAGAAGCATCCAGTCCAAAGCAGCTGGACAGCAGGTAATTACTACAAGCAGTTGTGCAGAACTCTGACCAGT